AGCAGCTCCATTCCCTGTCCTGGGGCCCACTGACCCTACATCCTTAAAGGATTGTGCCATTGTCCTCATTGTGATCTCTTACTGCTACACCTCATGAACACTAAAAATCAGTAGTTTATCTCCCAGGTATATTCAAGATACGATGAACTGTCATCATCTGAGATCCTTTGATTTCTTCACAGCCTTTGGCCTTTCTTTTTTGTGATCTTAGACTTGAATCTGAGGTGATTTTTAGGTTAAAAGTAAAATTTCTCCATAGCCAGGGTGACTTCTGAGGATGTGTGGCCTGAGTTAAAACAGTTTAAAAACTCACCAAGATTAATTCTGGAATGCCCTGCACTAGATCCAGGTTGGGTTTAGTTCTTCAACACTGTGCATCAGAGGTGCCTCTGTTTGATGTAACTGCAGGTATCTTCCACATTTGAAGTGATCCTTAATGGAAGGAATGTTTTTTATTTATTCCTCTCGGTCCCTGAAGTTCCTGCTGTGCCTGTTTCCAGGCTGGCAGTGCTTGGCTTTACAGAAGGGTGTTTTGGGGCTTGACCCCAGAAGATGGGGATTAACTCTCCTTGCTCACCTTGTGGCTTTTCCTCCCTGGCCCATGGTTGTCGGAGAAGCAGGCTCTCTACACATGGTGTGACCATTAAACTATGACATTGATAGGTGGGGTTCCTCAGGGCCAGGTGGGAACTGCTTTCTGGGTTTTCCTGTGTGTGTGGCCATGGTGTGACCGTGTGTGGGGTTTTTAATTGACCCCATGAAACCTGGCTGCGCCAGTTTAACCCACTGAGAGCAGTGGTGGAAGTGAAAGCTTCACCCTGTTTAATGGGAATGGCAGCCCCAGCCAAGCCTGACAGGACCTTTGGGAACAGGTGTGCATCAGCAGCCACTTGCTGAGGGTGTGAGAGAACAACTGTGAGTCTCTAGCTCCTTCCACTGAAATGGTTTCTCTGTTTTGGAAAAAAAAAAAAAGCCTGGGGTCACTCAACACCACAAGATGCAGTGGAAAAAGAGCTTTTTTCTGCATGAAATTTAACTGCAAGACTTGAGCAAAAACATGTCTGCAGGGAGAGGGTTGTAAGGACCAGCTGGCCAGGCAAACCGATAGGGAATTGCATCCCAAGCTGCTTGGCACTGCTGGAGCTTCCTGCCTTCTTGTGTGTTCAGGCTGTGCCAATTTTGTGACGTTTCCCTAGATTATTTCAGTCTAAACATTTTGGGTTAACACAAATCTGCTGTTTTAAACAGCTCAAATTCACCTGCTTGTTTGGATAGAATGAGATCAGAACAGCTTAAGTGTATGGGAGAGCAGATCTGAAATGGCAGGAGGCTCTGGCTGGGAGCATCACACTGTCCCTGGACCAGCTGGATTCTGAGCCCCAAGTGTTCCATTTCCCCCAGGAGCATCAGGCAATGTGCTGAAGTTGCAACACGTATTTTGTTGCTGATTTTTCCCTCAACCAGGGCTCTGTTGGAACATTAAACACAGCATCCAGCTGTCAGGGTGGGCTCTGTGGGGTCACTTTTCCAAAGCGTGGGCTACTGCTTCCAGAAGGGTTAAACAAGGCCCTGCTTCAGCATGGGGTCACTTTAGGCACCTGCCAGCTGGGAATCTCTTGACCTTCTCATGAGGACTCTGCTGGCTTTACCCAGGGCTGTGTGACCTCATTTAACCTTTTCCATGTATTTAAAATGGGTTTTCCAGCCTGGCACCATGGTGAGGGTGAGGCTGGTCTCTCTTGCTGTTGGGCCAGGTGGGGTGAAGGCATCAGATTCCTGATGCTTCCCACCTTTCCCTCAAAGTCTGGTTCCTTTCTTTTTCCCTATTTAATTCCCCTAGCACTGTGCTGTGGTTCCCTCCCGGTTTCTCAGTGCATGACTCGGATAAGGAAGGGTTTCCCCCTTGCATTGCAAAGCAGCTTAAGGACCCTCCTGTACCTTGTAGAGCAGAGCAGGAGGAGGTACAGCCTCAGCAAGGTGGGTTCTCTGCCTTCACAGGGAAGAGATGTCCTCTCCATTTCCTCTCCATTTCATGGAGATTTGAGCTGGAAATGGCCTGTGAATGGAAGAGAGGGTCCATTTGGGAGGGAGTGTGAGCACTATCTAATGTGAACAATCACTGAACAATAAGGTTATTTGAATGCAGATCTGTAAATCTCACCTCCAGCTGTTGATCCACCCGCTCATTAGTCCTGAGTGTCATAATTGCTTCACAGCGGGCTGCTTTAAATGTCTATGTCCCTGTGGAGATCGGGGATGGGAAGAGAGCTGTGGAAGGATAGGACAGGTTCTCCTGGCACCTGCACAACAGGACAGAATGAATTCCAGTGGGGATCAGAGAAGGGATTGCTTCCCTGGCTTCAGTGTGAGCAGTGGGCTGGAATGGTTGCAGAATGTTCAATAACGTGTCAGGTTTTATTCTACGCAGAGCAAAAGGGTGAGGGGAAATGATTGTGTGCCTGTCTCCCCCTCTTGCCCGGCTGTTTTGGGGTATGGAACTGATAATAAAGCACCAAAACCAAGTGTTTCCATGTTGGACAACACCTGACTCTCAGCAGGAGCCCATGAGCAGTTGTCACACGGTGCAGGGAGCAGTGGGGCAGAGAAGCAGGACCAAGGAATTTGCTCTTGATGTGAAGGTCTTGTGAAACCTCCTGTGTTCACCTGCGTGGTTGCAGTTCTGGCAGTGAAGCTCCACCCTGGGAAGGTATTTGCTTTGACAGCTGGACCTGGGCTGCATGAGCTGCTGGAAGAGGTTCTGCCAGGAGTAGTCACATGTGGGTTCTCTCCACCCTCTCTGCTCTTAGCTGCTCCTCCTTTGGAGGTACCGTGCTCTCCTGCAGTTTCGGCTCATCTTTTCATGTCCTGTGCCCCTCCCTGGCTGCTCAGAGGGGACTGTGGCAGGGCAATGCTTGTCCTTCTGCTTCTAACTGGAAATGGAGACATTCCAGGGTGCTGAGGGCTCTTCATTAATCCCTGGACCTGATGGTTGAGTTTTCTTTTAATAACTTACTTTGCTTAGTACAGCACTCTGACATCTTGGGTGGTAGGCAGCACCTAAGTGACATTCCTCAGAGCAGCTCAGGGAACGGGTAAATATAAGGCAGGCTTGGTAATGCTGCCTTCAGCACTGTTCTCCTTGGAAAGGCGAGGGAAATGCTTTTGATGACACTTGGGCTTCAAATTCCATCTACAGCCTATGCTTGGCAAGTGCTCGTGCCTGCCTGGTGAAGTTTGGGAATGCTTTGTTGAGCAGAGTGAATACTGCTTGTTAAAATTGCAAAAAATAGCCCCTCCAGGGCTAAAGCTCTGGTCTCTGAAGAAAGTGCTTCTAAACATGCAGATGCTTCCTCTTGGATTTCCAGGAGCTTGAAATGCCTTTCTGCCCCCTGTGCCCCCCCTTCCATCCCTACAGAAAATCACAGATCAGTGCTACCATGGTGTATGTTATTTCCCACCCAGTTTCCTCTCTTGTTATGAAGTCAGGGTTGTTGTTTTTTTTTATTTAAAAGCATCTCAGATGCTGAATTGGTCTTTCTTTTTCAAACAAATGTTGGCTGGTTCAGAGTGAGGGACTTTCTGTTACAGGACTGATTTAAACAAAAGTACAACCAACAAGTAAGCAGTGGCTCAAACCTTCTCCGGTTTCGCACTGCTCTCCTCTTCCCTGTGTTTCAGTGATCTTCCATCCGTTTGTTGAGCTCTACAGTGCTCCTGTCTCTAGTGCTGAAGCTGAGGGATTCTGGCTCTGGAAATCCTGCCATGGAGTGGGCACCAGCTGGCTTCACTTAGCTTGTGTGCAGGTTTTGGGTTTTTTTTTGCAGTCAGTGCTACATTCTGCTCTTTGTAAGTGATCCTCTGTGTTCCATCAGATACCCCAAAACAGAAACATCAGGCAAGGCAGGATCAACAGTCCCCAGATTAGTGTTTTGTGTTCCGATTCTGCTTCAAAAGTGGGTTTTTTTGAGTTGGGGGTGGGGTTTTCTTAGTTTTGGTTTGTTTTTTTCACGTCCCTTCCCGCCTCCGTGTCCTTCTTGTGCTGTTCTCCAGAGACTCCTGTGCAGTAGGTGGAGCACAGGCCTGTATTGTGTCGCTTTCCTGTGGAGTTGTTGCTCTTGGCCAGCTTTGCTGCTCGTATTTATAGAAGGAAAATCAGAGAGGGGAAAATCTAGCACATCCAGCTGCTGGAATGGCTCTGGTGATTTCGGGGTGTGGACAGTTGTGGACATCAGCTCAGTGGGCTGGAAGGGGTTTGTGTTCGTGTAATGACTTGTGTCCAGCACCTGCTTCCAAATGAAGATGAGAAAATGTAGGGAAGTGGTTTGCACTCATGGGAAAAGCTGTGACTCTGCAAAATTAAATTAGTATGTGGCTGAGGGAGCTGGGGGAACTCAGCCTGGAGAAAAGGAGGCTCAGGGGGGACCTTCTCACACTCTGCAACTCCCTGACAGGCAGGTACAGCCAGGTGGGGTCAGGCTCTGCCCCCGGAGAACGAGGAACAGAACAGGAGGAAACAGCGTCCAGTTGTGCCAGAGGAGTTTCAGGTTGGACATCAGAAGGAATTTATTAATTTGAAGAGTTGTCAGTCCCTGGCACAGTCTGCCCAGGGCAGTGGTGGAGTCCCCATCCCTGGTGGTGTCCAAGGAACGACTGGACACAGCCCTCAGTGCTCTGGGCTGGTGACAAGGTGGGGATTTGGCACAGATTGGATTCAGCCATCTCAGAGGTCTTTTCCAGCCTTAACGATTCTGGGATTCTGTAATCTTAGTCTCATCAGGAAGGCTCTTACCAGTTTCCCTTTGCCCTGCTTATGTTGAGAAGCCCACTTGTGTCTCCCCAAGCTGATGTGAGGGATCAGTGGAGCCACAGACAGAGTCTTGTTCCCTTCTTTGCATGAATGTGTGCAACCATTCCCAATGTGAGGTGGGTTGGTGGGAGATGGGAGCTGTTACCTGCAGCACAAAAGTAATTCTTTATTCTTTTCCTTCTTTTCTGTGCAGCTGAAGAGGTGGATCACGCCCCAGGTGATGCCAGCATGGGGGTAGATGTTTTGGAATCAGGTGACACCACACCTCCTACAAAGAGGAAAAGCAAGTTCTCGAGCTTTGGCAAGATTTTCAAACCCTGGAAGTGGAGGAAAAAGAAAAGTAGTGACAAATTCAAGGAGACTTCAGAAGGTAAAGCAGCAAGGCCTGGGTGGGTGTCCCTTCCTCCATCCATCTGAGAAGGGCTTGCTGTCACGAGCCTGAGTCCTGATGTGTAAGAAGGAAATGGGACTTTGGTGATCAGCTGGCACCTGCAATCTCTCCAGAAACACCTTCCCATGAATCTGTAGTTTCAGACAGATGAATTCCTTTCTTTCAAGGAAGCTCCCCAAGCAGCTGTGGGGAGAGAGGTTTTGCTCCATGATCAGCAGTGCAGCATGAAATGCAGGTCTGAACATGCAGTTTCTCCTCTCTCCTCTTAATCCATGCAAAACCAGTGAAATCTGAAGCCCTTTTATTTCCTCTAGAGAATCTCTTTAAAAGAAAAAAAAATCTTGAATTTCAAGCTTGCTCTGTTTTCTGAGTGCTTTTTTTCAATTTAATATCAGTTTTAGAACGAAAGATTTCTATGCGAAAGCCAAGAGAGGAGCTGGTAAAAAGAGGGGTTCTGTTGGAAGAGCCTGAGCAGGGTGAGTCTGCAAATGAGCTTCTCCTGTCTGTGTCTGTGTAGCTGATCTTCCTCTGGCCAAACCTCACCCTTGGGAGACAAATCTAAGGGCTTTCTGCTGAAGTGATTTCTGTCTGCCTTACTCTTTACAATGCTCTCTATTGTCTGTTTTCCCACCTGGGAGGAAGGCAGCCTGCTCAGGGAGGAAGATGGTGCCACATTCAGGGTAGAAAAAAGGAAAACAGAGGTGCTTCCACTAATCTGAGGACTTTATGAAAGTCTGTTATTGCACATGCAGTAGATGACTTGACTCATATTGGACTCTGCATTGCAGCAGGGATTTGGTGACTGCTCCATGATGGAGGGTGGATACAAAAGCTGCTGGAGATTTATGACTTCAGTTACGACTTCTTGTGCTGCAGCACAACACTGGGCTCACTAACCTGTAACACAGCAGGAAGGGCAGGACAGGGAGAAGAAAAACCTTTGATGGCATACAGTGTCGTGTGATTTGTTGATAATTGACTCGTTGATAATGAAATCAAGGGCTCTCTGCTCTAGCTGGTTGGGTTGCTGTGCTGTCCTGTGCAGGTGACTGAAGACCAGCTGCTTCAGAAGCCAGAAAGAGCTGGAATGGCTCCATGGTGGTTGAGTCAGCTGTCTCCATCTCTCCTCTCGTCTGCCTTCTGAGTGTTTTTCTCTTTGCTTCTCTCCTCCCGCCCCTTTGCAGATGGTGAAGAGCCAGAGAAGCTGAACCCACCTGCACTGAAGAATGGCCACACTGTCCCCATTGGGGGCCCTGGGGTCTGTGACCTGCCCAGCCAGGAGGAAGAGGCCACAAAGACATCCAGCCTTAGGAAGCCTGTTCCAGTGGAGGAACCAAAGAAGAGGCAGGGTAAGAAACGAGATGTGTGCAAAATCAGGGCTTCACATTCTCCTGTAACCAGTTTTGAATTCTCATCCGATCCTTCCCACTCTCAGTAGGCTCTCCAGTGCCTTAAGCTGAGCTGCTTCCCTTTGCAGGCTCTTCCAGCAGCCACCCTGGCCCCGAACTGGAACCACCTCAGGAGCCACACGTTCCCAGGCAACCTCTGCTTCCTCCAAAAAGACCTCCCTCCACTTCCCAGGAGGCAAATGAAGTGCAGGCACAGGATCCAACACCTGCCAGCAGCACTGCAAGAACTGCCCCCTTCAGCACAGCCCCCACGTCAGCAAAGACAGTCAATTCCACAGCTGCCCCTTCCCCAGCCCCCAGGACTCTGCTCCCTGCTCCTGCCAGTGCCAACACTACTGCTCCCACCAGTGCAACCAGCACAGCTCCTGCCAAACAGCCTCCTGTCCCTCCTCCCAAACCCGTCAACAGAAATAGCAACTCACTGATAGGTAAGTGACCCCATAAGATGTTTTTTGTACCCTGAGATGTTCTGGAGCCACTTCCCTTCATAAGGGAAGATTTTTAGTTGCATCAGGATGTCTGACCACCTTTCCTGAAAACAGTCCAGTTTGGATTCAAATCTGTCAGTGTGTAGCCAGGACACACACATTCTGGGAACAGTGTAATTACTGGAGTCTTCTGCCATGAACTGTCCAGTCTGTGCCCAACAACTACCTGCAGGAAGGAATCCCTGCCTGCCTGTTCTCTGTCAACTCTAAGGCAGTGTCTGAATGTTGATGCTTCGCTGGGGGCTGGGATTGGGGAATGGTGGATGACGTTTTGCTTTGTGAGAGTGTGGTTAGTGACAATTCAATCCTTCAGCTCCTCTTGGATAAAAAAGCAAGCCAGCAAACAAACACGAAAAATCCATATCACACCAAAAAATGTCTGGCGTGGCTATCACTGCCAGGCCATGTGGTTTTTTAGGTCAGAGACCAGGAGCTGGCAGGGATAATTCAGACTTCCCTGGTTATACTCAGGCACCTCCTCTAAGATCTACGGCTGGGCTGTTGACATATGGGTCTTGTCCCTATGTCTTGTCCTGTGGATAAATCAGCTCAACTTTAATTTGAACTGAATCTTCCCTTTTAGAGAATTAAATATTTTCATCTCTGTAACTTTTCTAAGCAGAAGATTTGGCGAGAGCTTCTTAAAGCTCATTTAGTCTCAGTTCTCTGTGGGAGTTCTGGAGATCTTAAAGATGCAACACTGAGAGTTGGGATGACTTCCATGCAGCCAAGGCCTGTTGGCATTTCAGACGGTTCTTTCAGAGACACCTCCTAATCTTTGGACAGGGTTAGCAGAGGTTAGCACAGATCAGGAGGGAAGCTCCTGGGAAGATCAATCTGACAGATCTGCACTGTTACCACAGAAACTGGAGGCGTTAGCCAGGTGTGGTTTGAGTGCTGGATGTGCAAGTTGCCATCTGAAATAGCCTGGGCCACTGCTTTCAGTGTGGGTGGATGGCTCTGCTCTGCTTGGGGCTCACCTTGTTCTGGCAGGTTTTACAAGTGACCTTGGTATGGTATTAACAACCCCCGTGTGCCAGACCAGCGTGATTAGCCTGACCATGCTTGAGCACTCCATGAAACACCTTCTTGTTTTCTTTAAGCTGCTTGCACGCACTGCAGGTGGCATTTGAAATGCCCCAGCGCTGATGGCAGGAGGTACTTGTGGAACAAAAAATGTGGCTGGAAACAGCAGTGTATCCAACGTGTTTAGAGTCATCCTGCCTCTGGGCTGGGAGCACCTGGGGACGTGCAGAGGAGGAGAGAACCAGCAGTTCTCTTTTGTCTCCTGGGAATTAATGCAGATTTAGAGGAGGTTCCACAGCCCTCTGGTCTGGCATGCTGGAGCTGTGGTGTTGCTGTGTGAGCCTTGTGTTGTCACTGTTGTTGAGCAGCAGGAGTGGAATTGGCTTTGTGAGCTCTCCACGGGTGTTTGGTGCCTACTCTGACTGCAGGGATGTCCTTCTGTGCCACTGTTACAGCCTGAGGCAGGGGAGGGTGTCACTGTCCAGGTCGCCCCTTTGTCTGTCCCCAAGTTGCTCATTCACTGAGCAGTTCTGGTGTCTCAAGCAGCAACTTCCTTCTGCCAGCTCCTTGCTCCCTTTCAAATTTTGCTCTTACCCAGAGGTGCCTAAATCCTGGTCCTGCCAGGCTCAGAGCACTGCTCAGGAGACACTGGAGTCCCTTGGGCGGGAGTTGAGGGCACTCTATTTTGCACAATCTGGCCCTTAATCTACAAGGGGAAAGTCTAAAAATGCTAAACATCTCACAAATGTGCCCACCTCTCTCCAGTTATGTGGCCTTATCTCTCCCACTTGCAGCACCCTCTCGTGGTGTCTGCACTGCAGATTCCTCCAGCTCTCTTCTGGGGACATCCATGTGTCACCGTCACCCGCTCCAGGGAAATGTGCAGCAAGTCTCAGCCGCTTTAGGCAAAGCCTCTACAAGCCCCAGAAGCCATGGATACATGGATGTTGAAAGTTGCAAACTCCTAAAGGAAGAGCAGTCTTTACTGGTGCAATTTCCCTGGGAACAGAGAGGGGGTTTGAGGATCTTGTGACTGCTCACTGCAAGCATTTTTCTTGTCTATATTTCTTCCTCTCTTCTTCATCAAACAGCAAATACTTAAGCTTTAGGTATTTTTGGAAGTTTTTCTAGTTACTTTGTAATGGCAGATGAGTTTATATAAGGCTTAAGGAACACAGTTCAGAGGGAGTAAAGCAGAACCTCATCCTGAGGAGTTGCTGGCAGTGCGATGTTCTTGGGCTGGGTCTGATGAATGAATACAACTGGGGGGAGCACACTGCTGCCTGCAGCTGTGCTGGTTTTTGCCTTTGAGCAAAAAGTAAGACTTCAAGACTTTTTCAGTCTTCCCAAGAAGTTCTTTAACTGCAGGGGAGCCGTTAACACAGCTGGAGTCTGGGGTGTCCTGGATGTCTCGGATTCCTTTATGCTGTAAATACAGCCATAAAGTGCCCACATAACTGCATTCCTGGGCAGGTTCCTGTGCTGTCTTTCAAGGGCTGGTGCCATTTCTCTCTCTAAAGCAGGAGGATGTACAAACCTGTCTCAGCCTGCTCATTTTTGGCTGCTCTCCCAAGTGTTACCTTTGCTGCTGGAAGGACAAACTAGAGCCTTGCAACCTGGCTATTTCTGGTATGATATTGCAGTAAAAAGTAGCAGAGAATGCTTAGTCCAAGGCTCTGAGTGCATTGCTGTGCTTTTTCCACACTGGTGAAGATTATCTGGAATATATCCTGTTCAACATTGTGGCTTTTGTGGTTTTTATTTTCAGCTGAGCTTTCCCAAGTAATGACCAGTGGTACGGCCTTGTCCAAGCCTTCCCCTCCTCTCCCCCCAAAGAGAGGCCTCCTGCCTAACAACACGTCAGATGCTGTCCCCTCCAAGCCCCTAAATGACAGGACAGTGGCAGTGAGTCGCCCCGCACCTGTTGCACTGCCCGTGCCCTCGGCTTACCCACCGCCGCCGTCCTCGCCGCCGCTGCCCACCCACGTACCCCCGGAACCTCCACGCGTGGCCCTGCCCACCTCCAGCCCTGCCCTAGACCCACCGTGCTCCCTGGACCTGCCGAAGGAGACTCCTCCTCCTCCTCCTCCTCCTGCTGAAGAGTTCAGGTCCATGGAAGCGTCGAAGAGGACGGCAGAGCAAGGGTTTGGTGAACCCGCTGTGCTGCCTCGGCTGCCGCAGATCCCCCTGCACATTCGTATCCAGCAGGCTCTGGCCAGCCCCCTGCCTGTCACCCCACCTCCCGAGGGGTCCCACAGGGCTCACTCGCTGCTCTTTGAGAACGATGGTTTTGGAGAAGACAACGGCACCCTGGGCAGGACGAGATCTCTGCCTGTCACCATTGAGATGCTCAAAGTGTGAGTACCTCCTTGTATGTGTGCTGGCTCTCCCAGCTCCTGCAGCACTGTGATGGTGGGCATGGCTCCGGGCAGGGCTTTGGTCTTTGCTGAAATCATTTTCCCTGTTGGCCAAATCTGTATTTCAGGCTCTTAAGAGCCAGTGCATCTTCCCCATGAAATTACCCCTGGTTTTGGGATTTTATTGCTCACAAAGGGAAATGGGTTCCAAACTACAAGCACAGGCTGATGCCAGGAATCCAGGCTTGGATTGTTTGTAACTGCACCAAGACCAAACAAAGTCTTGTATTCCATCCATCTGTGGTCTTCCTTAGCCTTTCATTTTGCTAAACATAAGTGGGGAAAGGACTGTCTTGTGTTATAGCAGAGCTGAATCTCCACAAAGCAGTGGGGTCAGAGGGCTGTGCCTCTGTCATTTCCTCAGCCAGAGGCCCCTGTGCTTTGAACAGAGGGGACAGTGCAGGATGCTGCAGTGGCTCTTGTACCTCTGGTTTCTGGGCTTCCCTAGAGAGGAGAGCTAAGGACGCATTGATTCTAGGCATATTCCCCTGTGCCATGTGTTCGGAGGTGTAATAGCATGCTTCTCGTTAGTCCAGACGATGAGGAAGAGGAAGAAGATGACCAGGAAGAGGAACAGAGTTCAGGTCTTCGTGTTTATATTGGAGATGTGCCATCTGTCACAGTCATCCCCAAACTGGTACCTCAGGTCCTCCCAGAGGAGCAGGAAGGAGATGAAGGGATGAGCGACTCTGATTCGGAAGGGCCCATCCTGTATAAAGATGATGAGGATGAGGAAGATGATGAAAGCCATAACAGTAAGGCTTTGACATTGCAGGTGGCTTTTTTATTGCTCTGTTGAACTCGTGCCTGGCTGCACTGAGATCTGGATCAAAGCACCGCTTCCCACAGTGCTTCAAAGCAGCTGGTTCCTGGTTGCATGATGTAGCACATGTCCTCTGCCTTGCTTTTTCCAAGGCTTTGCAGCCAAGCCTGTGCACTCACCTGCTGAGTGCACCCCTTCAGCTGCAGATGGCTCCTGTGAAAGCATGTGCTGTCCCAGCCCCTCGGGTAGGACAGCAGTAGGTGAGCATGTGGTGTCACACAAAAGTGCTGGCTGCTGCTGCTGCTGCTGTGCAGTGAGTGCAGAGCTTGGGAAGAGCAAGGACAGAGGACAGCTCTCCTTAGGGAGAGCGCAGCTCCCAGGGGCACAGGGCTGGGATTGCTGTGGCAGGCTCGGCAGCCTTGAGCTGCATCCTGTTGCTCTCCCTCCCCACAGGCATGCTGGCCAGCAAAGTGAAGAGGAAAGATACACTGGCTATGAAGCTGGGGAGCACAACCACACCACAGGAGGAGAAGATCGTCGTCCCTCGGAAGAGTAAGGAGGAGTGGAACGAAATCCGCCAGCAGATTGGGACGACGCTGATCAGGTACAGATAATGATGGTGATCAGTGTGTGCAGAGTGGGACTGGACAAAGTTAGTGCCTTGTCTGAGCAGCCTGTGCAGGAATAGGGTGGGTGGTTGGGCACGGCAGCAGGAGCAGGGCTGGGAGGTTGAGTGTTGCTGTTCCTCCTCCGTTGCAAAAGGTGGGAGTTCCTCCTGGAGTTGAACAATATCCCTCTTGACAAGCCCCTGTTTCCAGAGGTTAAATGGACTGAGAGGGGAAAATCTCAAAGATTATGGAGAAGTAGAACACAGATGGTATAAAAAGGTGTGGATGGATTCAGGGTGGGTGCTGGTGATGGATGAAGCGGGGACTGGTGACAGTCCAGGCTCTGCTGTCAGAGCTCCTTGAAAAGCTCTTTCTGAGCTGGAGGGCCCATAGCCCTTCCGAAAGCTGTGCCGGTGGCTGAGCAGCTGTTTGAGCAGGGCATGGTGTAAAATACGGCAGCAGTGATCCTCAGTGGTGAGTGAGGAGTATGGAGGAGGCTGTCTAGTGCACTGAAACCAGGCAGTTTTATCCTTCATCTGCTACTGATGAGTGACCAGATAAAACATTCTCCACTTGTCACACTTCTCTTCAGGCGACTGAGTCAGAGACCAACTGCAGAAGAACTGGAACAGAGGAACATTCTTCAGCGTGAGTAGCACTTCTCTGGTGGTCCTGAGAAACACCATAAGTTCGCCTTTAACATCTTAATGTATCAGATGGGGATAGTTTTAAATTGAAAGAGATTTAGATTAGATGTTAGGAACAAATTCTTCCCTGTGAGGGTGGGCAGGCCCTGGCACAGGGTGTCCAGGGAAGCTGTGGCCGCCCCTGGATCCCTGGGAGTGTCCAAGGCCAGGCTGGACAGGGCTTGGAGCAATCTGGGATAGTAGAAGGTGTCCCTGCCCATGGCAGGGCGTGGAACTGGGTGATCATTGAGGGCTCTTACAGCCAAACCCATTCTGGGATCATATGATTATGGACAGAAAGCTGTCCCATGCCTGCCACCTCAGAACAGTGTGTGGGCTGGTTCAGGCTCTGCTGTTGCACAACAAGGACTGGTAAAGGTGTTTTTGCTTGGGCTGGATTTTTTGTTCCAGACATTACAGCATTGCACGATCTCTAAAGCAGCAGTGCATCACGACATCAGGACTGTTTCTCTTGGCCATATCTTGTTCTGCAAAAGTTTTAAATAAGCATCTCGAGGAAATGGGAATGTCAGTTCAGGAAGTTTCCATTTAAAATATTTATCCGTGCTGTTATTTTCTTTTAAACTATAATAGCTTTGTGAAGGAACAAGGAGCACAGTGGCTTGGGTGTATTTTGGCGAAATGGCCATGAATCTGTGACATGAATGACTCATTGGTGCTGCATAAGGGGCATATTTGCCCCTGCCAGTTCAGGAGGTGACACAGGGTATTGAGTTGTACTGGGCTGTCTGCCTGTACTGAGCCTTTAGATCTGTAGATAATCTGATCCAGCTCAATACTCTCCTTTGTTCAAGCCTAGAAAGCACTTTTCAAAGCCTGATGCTTACATGAAATACGTTTCTTTTCCCTTTGGCAGCGAAGAATGAAGCTGACCGTCAAGCTGAGAAGCGCGAGATCAAGCGCCGGCTCACCAGAAAGGTACTGCTGGCTCCCCCGGCGATGGCCACCTGGCAGGGCATGATGGCAGTGAGCACGGTGTGGGTACCGTGCTGTGGGGGAAGTCACTGGGCTCTTGTGTAAGTGTCCCCAGTGCCCTCGGACTGCAGTGACTTTGGAATGTGGACTGTCACCCACGGTGAGCCATGGGCACCAGGGCCGTGTTTGTCAGTGACAGATCTGAGCTGGCAGCAAGTGTAAAAAGCAAGATGATAACTAAATTTGGCACCTGACACATGAAAGGTTTGCTGGTCTGGCTGCTTTAACACAGTGCTTCAGCAGCCACAGCTTCACAGCAGGCTCCCTAAAATCCATTTCTAAAGTAACAGCAGTGTGGGAGCTGAGCAGAGTAACAGCTGCTTTTAGCTGTTACATCCAAGTTACTTGTGATTGTTATTCATGGCTGGGAAAGCTTCCCCAAGGCCTGTGGGTGTGAAGTGTGAGCGTTGCCGTTGCTGGAGCTGTGTTTAGGGGTGTCATGCAGGGCTCACCCTTGTAGCGGCTGTTCCCACTCACCTCAGTGTCCTTCTCCATGACAGGGCTCTGCCCTAGCCTGGCTCTGTGATCCCAGTGGTGGCAGTATCCAGTCTGTAAAAGGTTTACCTGTTCCCTTGCAGACTGCGAGCAGGATCTGGTAGTGTCTGTGGTTAAGGCACAGTGAGGGAACTGGTGTTATTTTTGCTTGGGCTGCTTAGTCCTGGATTTGCTTTGTGGACAAGGCTCAGACTAACCTCCTTTGTTTTTGCTGGTGTTCAGCTTAGCCAAAGGCCTACAGTGGCAGAGCTGCAGGCCAGGAAGATCCTGAGGTTTAATGAATATGTGGAAGTAACAGATGCTCAAGACTACGACCGGCGAGCAGATAAGCCATGGACAAAGCTGACACCAGCTGACAAGGTAACTGAAAGTGTCTTGTCCCCAGATGGGAAGGGGACCCTTTGCAGGGTGTCCCATTCCAAAGGGTGTGAGCAAAGGAGATCTGCTCTGTTCCTTTGGCTTCACCTCTTCATCTTTTCCTCTGCCACCCCACCTGCGTCTCTTCACTTGCATGTGCTGTCCCAGCTCTGCTTCCTGCTGCCTCATGGCAAGGTGGAGCCCAGGTGGGCAAAGTCTCAAGACCAGCATGGCTTCTGCCTCAGTTTCTGAGTGATGTAAGAATCATAAAATCATGGAATTGTTAAGGTTGGAAAAGCCATTGACGATCATGGAGTCCAACTGTTTACCCAGCACCACCATGTTCACCACTAAACCATGTCCCCAGTTGCCCCATCTGCACATTTTTGAATACTTCCAGGGGTGGTGATTCTACCACAGCCCTTTCCATGAAGAAATTTTTCCTTGTATCTCATCTAAACTTCCCCTGGCTCAGCCTGGGGCCGTTTCCCCTTGTTCTGTCACTTGTTACCTGGGAGAAGCGACCTACAAACCCCTGGCTGTCTTGACCCTCCTGACAGGGAGTTGTAGACAGCAAGAAGGTCTGTCCCGAGCCTTTTCTCCAGGCTCAGTCTCTCCACCTTGCTCAGCTGCCCCTGGTGCTCCAGGCCCTTCCCCAGCCCCATTCTTTTTTCTGGACACAGCAAGGATACTGGGTATTGGTCATAGCAGTGCAGTTCCCTGCAGGCTCAAGAAGCAGGCAGGGAACCATCTGTCTTTGTCGTCCCCGGCCACCTCTGGGGACTGCCCAGCCCTCACCGCAGAGTGGCTGATTAAATTAAGGTAGGTGTTAATGGACTGTGAAGGCTGGGGTGGCCACTGCAATCTGAGCCCTTTCCTTTCCAAAAACATCTCTCTCTCTATGTAGGCTGCCATCAGGAAGGAGCTGAATGAGTTTAAGAGCTGTGAAATGGAAGTGCATGAGGAGAGCAAGCAGTTCACCAGGTGAGAACGTGTTAACTTAGAGTTTTGGTCTTGTTAGAGCTGTCAGAGCTGTGCTGCAAGGACAGTGCTCAGTGGCAAAACACTAAAACCTTAGAAAAATCATTTGTGTGGCACTTGGAGATTGAATGTCCCTTTCTGTCTCAGTCGGGGGAGCAGTAGCAGACACAAGGCCTGTTGTTTTTCCTTAAACTGGGGCTTCCATCCTGAAGGCTCAGTGACCAGTGTCTAGTTTGAGGTGTATCTGACACTAGTGTGAAGCTGCAGCTGGGGCTAGAGATGTGCAGCCACAGCCACAAAATACCTTGCTAATGAGTTACCTTGGATGTAATCTGTGGAGCTACCTCTGGATCATGGCTCAAGTGATTCCTTTCCTTACAGCTCTGTGAGGCAAAGTTGAATACAGAGCACAGGAGGTGAAATTGTTTGATGTTAACAGCTTCCCTGAGGGCTGACAGTTCTGAGATAATTCAATTTACTCTCTTTGGCCATCTGTAGCGCCCAAGTAACAATTTAATCTGAGTTCCAGGGATAACACTCAGATTTTTCACTTGGCTTTCAGATACCATCGACCATAATATTCCAAGGAGGGAGCAAGAAACTCGGGAGCGCTGGAAGTTTTCTGCACCCCTCTCCTAGGCAATGCAGTGAGGGTGGAGCCTCAGCTCTTCCAAGATTTGCCTTCCAGACATATCCAGAAAAGGGCTTTTGGCCAGGGAAGGGGAATCCTGTCTGAATGTAGCATTTCACTGGAACAAACACATCTCTCATGCCATCAGCCTGGAACTGACACTATACCTCGCTTGGCTCAGCAATATGACTCTGCCAGGACCGTGCCCAGGGGAACAACCCCTTCCTTCCCAAGTTGTACAGACTTGTCTTGGGGGTGCAATTCCTCATTTCCTTCTCCTTTCCATCAGGAAGGGAGGAAAAAGAAAAGGCAGCTCTAATGTTGGGAAGCTGAGGAGAGCATGTGCTCGGAAGCATGTGTGTGTGTATATTAGCTGTGTACAGAGAACCCTGGCAGACAACTGACATGGCACTCGTTATTTTTGGGGGGTTTTGCTGGTTTCTGTCATGTCCTTAATGCCCTGAATCACTACTGACCAACGGTTTGTTGTCCTGGAAGGGAATTGTATAGATATTAACATATGCTGCATCTTTTTGTAAAAAAATTTTTAAAAAATTAAAAAAACAGAGAAAAACCCCAACAGATGTATAAAACATTTGCTCTGCACTCTCTCACACTTGCTGTAATCTTAATAACAGATCTTGAGATATCTAGGCTTGTTTAACAAATTACAGAACCAGGAAAAATGACTGTTGCCTTTTTAAAACTTTTTAATTTGGGGGAACTGTGAGAGTAGTCAGTTGTTTTTATTGTGGCTTTCTCTCAGATGTTTTTTACTCTCGCAAATCAGGGTTGAAGCTTGCCTTTTTCTCATTTTTACAGCTAAACCTACTGGAAACTTAATAATTTCACTGTGTGGGTCGAAAGGAGGGGAAGAATAGGTTTTCAAAGTGACCTTAAAAAGACGGTATTTCTCTTTTGAGAGAAAAATTCTTCCTCAGTGCGGGTTCAAAAAAAAAAATCTAGTAGGGCCACTGCTGTATTATGCACAAAACTAAACTATGTGTGAGATGCCACTTGTGCGGAGTTTGGGGTGGGAGAGAAGAATTTTGTCTTGTTCACAGACCAGTGTGGCAACATGCCGGCCATGGCCCAGCATCCGCGGGGAGCTTTTCCCTCACAGCATCCCCTGTAAAGCCACCATTGCGTTGTATATCAGTCTCCTCAGCAAACAGATTTTAATTATTAAATAAAAGTATTTTAGAATTCTTTTTTTCTTAAACTCTGCTTGTGTGGTCGTGTCTTTTCAACTGCTCTCGGTAGGGGCGTAACCTGCGGCTCCCGAGGGAAGGGGGGGTGGAGGGCGGGTCAGCCATGGCGGCAGCTCAGACATGGCGGCGCCTCCCCTGAGGCCGCGGCTTTTCGCGCCCTTTCAATTGCGCGTGCGCCAGCCGCCCTTCCGGCCTGTGCGCAGCGCCGCTGGCCCCGCCCCTTTCGCCGAGTCTTGGCGCTTATGCCCATATATGGTTTGTCTCTGCCCCTTGGGCGGGACGCGCGCGCGCACTTCAGCCCCGCCCCCGCGCCCTATAAAAATCGCTGCGCGGGGCGGAAAGGCCTCTTTCACCCTGAGGGGCGGCGGAACGCTTGGGTAGGTTCGCTCGACATTAACCATTTTTACCCTTTTTACCCTTCCCTTACTTTGGCGTGAGGACGTAGTGGTCGAGCGGCGCCACGCTGTCAGCGGATGCCCACTGCATCCCCGTTTAAACGCTAAAATATATCGTGAGTTACTCGTGGCTGTGGGTGCTGCGGGATCGCCTCGTGCCACCTCAGCCGCCCTTCAGAGCCGTTTCTTTTCCTTACAGGTTCCACCAAAACTTGTTAACCTCAGTTTGTCCAGCTCGCTCCAGCGTGAGTATCTGTCATGTGGCCGCGCCGCATGCTCGGCGGAGCGGGGACGCGCCGGGGGGGGGCGGTCAAGGTGGCTAAAAATGTTTAAAACAAAGATCCGACGTGGATATCCGGAGAAGTCGCTCTCTCTCGGCTCTGTCCGTGTGGCGTACGGGAGCGCAGGCCCTCGGGCCCGTGACGTACAGTCCCCTTCCACGACGTCGGAGAACAAGCCGGGCCCCGAGCCTGCAGCCTGCATATTCCTACTGCTTCTCTGAGCCCTTGGGCCGTGACAGAGGAGACAAACCATGCAGGAAACACTGACACCAGGGGTGCTGGGACGGGGAACACGTGCGGAGGTGGGCGGGAGAAACAAAAAGGTCGTGAAAAAGTCCTTAAACTTCCTTGTTTTTTTAAATTCCAGTACCAAAATTGGAAAAGTTAGAGTGGAGCACGTTTGTTGAAGGTAATAACCGCGTTTAAAATGCTATAGCTCTTGTCCTTAAAACCATATTTCAAGTAAGTTTTAACTGTTTTGTATCGTCTTAGTGAAAAAATTATAATCCAGATTATATAGGTAGCGATAATGAAAGTTCAGATCATAGGCTTCTAGTTTCTTTTAGTGTGTGATTTTAGATAGATGAGGAAAATAAATTATTTCTGTGTGTTAAAGGGGAAAAAAATCCGGTAATGAATCTTGAAGGCAGGAAAAAAATCGCGGGATATAAACTTACTTACTGAACTTAAAGCTCTCTTTGTGTAATGTGTGACACGAGAAAAGAGCAGATGAAAAAAACCTTCCTTTTCTAAAATATTGCAGAAACTGCTGGGCCGAAATGACAAAGAAAAATCCGCCTTTAGTTGGAGAGGGTGAGTATATTAAAGAGTCTGCTCAATTAGGTGGGCAGACACTGGCCGAGTCTTCTTTGTGCACTGTGTAATTAAAATGTAGGCACGGGGATCAAAACGGGGTGGAACCAGGAATGCGTGAATGTAGTGGTCTTTTAAAGCACGTGCTTGGAGCACTAAAAATAACGTGTGTGCCTGGTGGGACGGGCACTTCCTGGATTCTGTGGAGCAGTGGAGCTGGGCACGGAATTAAAGCACAGTATCGGTAAGCGGCACGGGAAGGAAAGACAATCCACGGGATGTGGGATTGGTTGAAGTGCAACTGGAAGGCCAAGGGCAAATGTGGGGTTGGTTTGTCCCACAAGAAGGAGCTGCTTTTGGGATACTTGAAACTGGGGTGCTGGAGAAGGGGGGTGCAGGGGTAAGGGATAAATAAAAAAGGTGTGTGCTTTCCTGTGGACTACACAACCTTCCCATCGATTCGACCTTGTTGGGGCTAGGATATTACCGGGAAGATGGTACTGAAGGTGGATTATGGGATGTGGGTGAAAGAATCAGTCCTTGTGTTAGGCCCTGAAATACAGGCCTTCCTGTTATGTTGGTAACTGAAGTCTGTACTTGGCTGCCGTAGACAGCTCAATAAACTGAACTTGTTTTGGCTTGGTGTGTGTTTTTGTTGAGAGATTTAAACATTAAGAAAAGCTTAATGCTATTGGTGGTGCCTTTCCCTTGTGTGGAAGTGTGATTCTTGTGTGCTGCTGACACATCTAAAGGAAGTAAAGGGATGGGAATGCACTGTGACGCTCTGGGCTGGATGAGGCGCAGGTCGGACCTTCGGTCCGGGTTTGGGTCGTCTCGGGGCACAGAACGCTTCATGTCGTTAATGGCTAAGTCAAGAAGTGTTGATTGGGTCTTTTTACCCCGGGGTGTGGCTTGAAGGGGGTGGGGGAAAGCAAGCAGGGGGATCACGCTTCTCGCCCTTTTGTAATGGGAGCGGTGCTGATGGGAGGATTTAGGGGAGGTTCTGGTGTGGGTTGATGAGACTGGCACGAGCGGTTGGCCGCATGTCCTGTCCTGGGCCATGAAGTCTCCAAGAAAAGGATCAATGGCTGTGTATCTGCTCATCAAGTAAGTCCCAACACGAGCCTAGTATTAAATACTCAGTGGTGATGCTTCTCACATGGGCTGTGGGTGACCCCTGGGGATCAGGGTCTGATCAAGTGAGGCTGCTGTAGCAGCTAAAATCTTAAATAGAAACTTGATTTTATTACTAAATTGAAGCTATCATGGCCAAATGCAGGCCTCTGGACTGGAACAGCAGAATTAATCAGTAAAATAAGGGCAGGAGAGATTTGGTGTCTTCAGGTTGAGCTGAGAAGTTTAGTCTGGTTCCTGTTTCAAGAGTAGAAGTGTTATTTTCCACATTAACCAGGAGTCGGTTGCTGGAAAAGGTGGGAGCTCAGACTTGCTGGATTTCAATACCGTGCGTTGAATTACCGTTTTTTGCAGCAGCTCTGTTCCATCACAGCTGGCCGCGGCCTTGCAGGCTGGAGGTATCACTCTGGAGTTTAGAAGCAGGCTGAGTTACTCACGTGGACTTATTGCCCGGGGGCCAACATATGGCTAACTGCGAGCCCTGCCTTGTGCTGCGTGTCTTCGTGTGTCTTCTTGTCCCTTTGTCCTGTCCCCTTGTCTGTCCCCTTGTCTCTGTCCCCTTGTCCTTGTCCCCTTGTCCCTGCGAGGCTGACTTGGCCGCGGGGCCGCCGGCCGGCAGGGGGCGCAGCGCAGCGAGGAGCCCCGGCGCGCGCCCCCGCGCATGCGCAGAGCGGAGCGCGGCGGGGCCGGCGGGCGGTGAGGGAGCGCGGCGGGGTCGGGCCCGGAGCGCGGCGGGAGGGACCGGGGCGGGACGGACATGGGGACGCGGACGCGGGCGCGGGGATCCCGGCGGGGCCCGGGCCGCCCTCGCCGCAACCGACCGGCTGTCAGGGAGAGCTGCAGGCGGCGGGAGAAGCGGGCGGTCCGGGCCGTGGCCTGCGCGGCCCCACGTGAGGCGGCGCCGCGGGGAATTCGAACGGCGGGAAGGGGCGGGGGGCGGTGCTCGGGCCATGCGGAACGGGAGCGGGGTGAAGACGCGGACACGGCTCGGCTCCGATTCTTCCCTTTTCCCAATTCCCCTCTTTCCCTCTTGTCCTTTCTTTTTCCCTTCCCTCTCCTCGCCTGCCTGGACCTGAAATCTGGAGAGGTTCACAATCTGCGTGAGGTAGGGAGAATGGATAAAACAAGGGAAAACTTTCCATTTTCCCAGAGCAGGAGAAGGAATCTGTTCAAATCCCAGCTCGGTCACCAGTCCCTCAGGTGGATTTTTAAGGTGTGAGGGGACACACCAAACTGAGCAGCGCAGTGGGCGACCCCTTACAGTCTCTTTTTGGCGTTTAGATTCCAAGATGCCAGGAAAACGCAGTGCGAAGAACCCAGTGCCGGAAGGGTCTCCTGAGACAAAGAAGGTTAAAGGTAAGAAAAATCCATGGGAATTTTCCTTTTGTTTTCTCAGGGGTGATTTTTACCGGGAAATTTGTACCCCCACATGTTCTTTCTCCCCCTCCCACCCCACAGTCAGCCACCCATCACACCGCTCACAGCCTGGGCTGGTGCTGACACTGGGCCAGGGTAATGTCGGCCAGCTGGGCCTGGGTGAGGACATCATGGAGAGGAAGAAGCCAGCTCTGGTCACGCTGCCGGAGATGGTGGTGCAGGTGGAAGCTGGAGGGATGCACACGGTGTGCCTCAGCCAGACAGGAAAGGTGAGTGCAGTGAGTTCTGGGATGTGTTCTGGAGGAGAGGGTAGGAATCAGCTACTGTTCTGCCCACATCTTCCAGCTCTGGGGTTGAGCATGGTCTCACATGGACCACAAAATTTTAGGGGGACAAAAGGGAGACCTGAAAAGAGCCTGCAAGAGAATTGCAGAGAGCCTTAGAACAAGAGAACGGAGTGATAGGACAAGGGGGAATGGCCACACTGACAAAGTAGATGGGTGACACTGCAGTTTTAGAAGCAGTATTGGGAAGACTTTCTTCCCTGTGAGGGTGGTGAGGCTCTGGTACAGAGAAGCTGTGGCTGCCCCATCCCTGGAAGTGTTCCAGACCCGGTTGGACAGAGTTTAGAGCAACCTGATCTAGATGAAAGTGGTCCTGCCCATGGTAGGGGGTGGAATGAGATGAGCTTTAAGGTGCCTTGCAGCCCAAACCATTCCATGATTCTGTGATAAATCAGCCTGGTGAGTCTCTATCCCCTGACTTGATACTCAGCCAGTTGGCCCTCTGGGCCCCATCCTGACCACTTGTACCAAATCTGCAGATCTACACCTTTGGCTGCAATGATGAAGGTGCCCTGGGACGCGACACCTCGGCTGAAGGCTCCGAGACCTCTCCGGGGCCGGTGGAGCTGCAGGAGAAGGTGGTGCAGGTGTCGGCAGGAGACAGCCACACGGCTGCGCTCACCGAGGACGGCAGGGTCTTTGTCTGGGGCTCCTTCCGGGTACGCTCATTCCTCAGATGCTGGAAGCTCTGCTCGTGGCTGCTGCTCCTGTGGCTCATCCCTGTCTCTGTCTTCCCTCAGGATAACAATGGAGTGATTGGCTTGCTGGAGCCCATGAAGACGAGCTCTGTTCCTTTGCTGCTTCAGCTTGACACGCCTGTTGTTAAAATAGTTTCAGGTGAGCAAGGCCCTGGGGTGTGCAGGGTCAGGCAGGTATATGAGACTGTCACAACCCTTGAGGAAGGTCCATGGCCTTTTCCTCCTTCTTGGTCTGAGCCTGGTACAAGGGTGTACTTGCTCATCTCTAACTCTCCAGAGAATAGACCTTGTAGCCCAGATATTTTAGCTCCAACAGATTCTCATATTGAGTTAATATTTGACTAGTCTAATGTAAAATGCCTTCCAAGAATGGCCTGAACTGTGACCCTGTGGGGCCAGTGCACTTGCTTTCTAATGATGCCTGGGAAAGCTAAGCACAGCAGCCAGGGAGCTTGTCCAGGGCCCAGGTCAAGTTGGGGCATACCTGTGTCCTTACCACCTTCCCAGAAAAACTGCTTTCGGATTTGGAATTCCTGGGATCAGGAAGAGGGATGTCCTGCAGTTTTAGATGGTGGCACAATTGGTGTCAAGGTATCCAGTGCAGTAAACCGTGACAGCTGGGACAACTGGGGTTTACCTGTGGGATCTCAGCCCCCAGGGCTTGCTGAAGACTTCTCCATGAGTTCTCTTTCCTTTCTGTCCCAGGAAATGACCACTTGGTGATGCTGACAGTGGACGGCGACCTGTTCACGTGTGGCTGTGGCGAGCAGGGCCAGCTAGGCAGAGTGCCAGCACTCTTTGCAAACCGAGGAGGCCGGAAAGGGCTGCGTGAGTGGATTTAGTTCTCAGAGGGTGCATCCTTTGGCTCCAGCTCTGCCCTTTGCAGAGGAACAAAGGGACCCAGTCCCTGTTGCTCAAGGGCTTATGTGTAATCAGTGACCTAAATGCTGTGAGCCAGATCCTTAGACGCAGGGAGGGTGTAAATCCTTAGTCCTTGTATAACAGCTTGTCTCCTGCCCAGAGCGGCTGCTGGTCCCCCAGCTTGTTCCTGTCAGAGGCAAAGGGAGAAGAGGCAAAATGCGCTTCCAGGACGCTTTCTGTGGGGCCTATTTCACCTTCGCCGTCACGCAGGAGGGACACATCTATGGATTTGGCCTTTCCAACTACCACCAGCTGGGTGAGCTTCACCTGTGTGCCTCCAGATCTCCTGCTAGTCCACTGCTGCCCTGGCCTGCTGGGTGCCCCAAAATCTAAAGACTGCATGCACTGGAGCTGGAAATGGTGGGGGTAGGGCTCATCCTGCATAGCTCTGGGCTCTGAGGTTAGGTCCCAGCCTGCTGGGTTTGAGCAGAAATTGGACTTTGGGGCGGCGGGCCGTATTGTTCTCTGGTGGGGTGAGCCCCAGGGAGGATGGCTTGGTGCTGGAGCCTGGCCTGGGCTGTCCATGCCCGTGGACCTGATCTGCCCGGGTTTGTGCGTCCCACCCTGCAGGGACCCAGGACACCGAGCCCTGCTTCTCCCCGCAGAACCTTACATGCTTCAAGAACTCCACCAAGTCTTGGGTTGGGTTCTCTGGCGGGCAGCACCACACGGTCTGCGTCGACTCTGAGGGTGAGTGACACTGTGACAAGTGGGCTGGGAGTCACACAGAGCAGCGTGGGGGGATCCCATGGCCATCATCCTGGCCAAGGAGCTGTTGGGATGAGGGTGATGTGCTGGCGCCCTCCAAGCTCTCTGTTCAAGGAAACAAGGTTGGTGTAAGATTGCAGCAAAGGGAAGCTGACAACAGGAACCTGGACTCAGTTGTGAACTCTGCTCTTGCACCTATCCACCTTATTGATTTTGGAGAGCTGAAGGGTCTCTATCCCACCCTGCCCCTTCAGGATGGGTCTCAGGGTGTGCTATGGAGCAGTGATGCTCATTCAGGAGTCAGACCTAGGAAGAGGGTCCAGCTTTGGTCCTGCTGCAGCTTCTGTCCCCCTCAAGTCGCCTCTCCTGTTTTTCCACTGTGCTGCAGGTAAAGCCTACAGCCTGGGCAGGGCAGAGTATGGCCGGCTGGGCCTTGGGACAGGGGCAGAGGAGAAGAGTACACCCACAGTTATCCCAGAGCTGCCCAGCATCACTTCGGTGGCCTGCGGAGCGTCAGTTGGTTATGCTGTCAGCAGTGATGGTGAGTGCCAGGGTTTGGCAGCACTGCCTTCTGTCCCTTCTTTGTGCCACCCTGCACACCATCACCACACACTGCCAGCTGCGCTGGGACTGGAGCCACGTCCTGGTGCCAGTCGCCTGCACAGATGTGTTTGTTGGCCTGTGGCAACAGGCTTGGTCATGTGGTGTTCACCTGGAGGGGGTTGTTCGCCTGATAATCTCTGACTCTTGATGCCATACCTCTGTGCTCTGGTGCTGCATGTCTGTATGCAGCGTCTGCAGGAAGGAAGGTTTGGAGTGGGCTGTGGTTTTAGTTTTCTCCCCTAAAGGGATGAAAGTTCCTTGGCTCTGTGGCGGAGCATCTGTTTGAGTTGCAAGTGCTCCTCCTCTTCCTCCTTTTTGTGTTTTGGACTCACAGAAACTCACTGGGTGCGAGGTCCCCTTGGGTTTGGGTGCTGGCTCCCTTTCCCATTGTGCAACCACTTGTTGCAGGACGAGCGTTTGCCTGGGGAATGGGCACGAACTACCAGCTAGGCACTGGCGAGGAGGACGATGTCTGGAGCCCCGTGGAGATGACCGGGAAGCAGCTGGAGAACCGGCGAGTGCTGGCTGTGTCCAGTGGTGGGCAGCACACTGTGCTGCTGGTCAGTGAGAAGGAGCAGAGCTGATGAAACGACGCAGGAGCCGAGCCCAGCGGGATCACAGCACCCCCAGACCCCCCACAACTTCTGCCTGGGTTGGGGAGCCAATTACTTGGGGAGGGCAGGAGGCTCATGGAGCTGGGCCCAGCAGCACCTGTGTGGTTCCCCATGGGTTCTCCCTGCAAGCATTTGTCTGTTTTCCCATGGTGCCCGCTGCTCTGTCAGCTCCCTGGGTCAGCTTGGTCCTAAACTGATCCCAGTTCTGTGCCTGGATGGATTTCCACTTCTCGTCTGGTTTTTTAAAATTTCCGACCCAGCGAAGCCGAGGGTCTTGTTCTTCACCCTTCAATCAGGTTCGGGTATCAGTCTCCTAGAGGTCCCTGTGTTCCCCACATCTGGATGCTCCTCCACCCCCTTCACCTTAATATACCTCTTTGACCTGGATGTGTCTGCTGCCACCTGCCAAACCCCTCTTGAGTCCCTTCCAGGCAGATCTGAGTCCAAATGGAACGTGCCCAGGAAGCTCTATCCTCTAATCCAGAACTTGTGGTTGCTGTGGGGGATGGCCTGCCTAGTGAGGGAGAGTGCTGCACGATGATGCCTAGCATACTGTGACCGCTGGAAAAGAGAGGGGGGATTCCTGCCTCCCATCCCTCAAGTATCTAAGCTGAAACTCCCCAGGCAGTGAGGCCTGGAGCAGCCACCTCCAGCACTGCTTTTTGCAGTCCTGGCCACTCCCTCTTTGCCATTGCCTTTGGAAACCCAACCAAATCCATCCCACGGGTGGGAACACTATTAATTTAATTTTTTCTCTTTCGCTTGCTGAGGAAGGAGCTTCATTTGCTGTTAGGGCCTTGCTGAGCAGACACCCAGACCCCAGCTATGCATGGAGTCGCTGGTAACAACAGGACTCCTCCTCCCCGTCGCCTCCCTGATCCAACTGGCCTTGCTTCCTGTGCCCAGCCTCCTCCATCCTATCCATAGAGGAGGTGCCTTCCGGGCACCTGGAGTGAGGAGGGTGGTCTGTAAAGAGCTAAATTATAGCAATAGGAGGGGGGGTTGTGGCTGGGATGAGGGGTCTGGGATTATACAATGGGTCCGAAGGGGTTGGATATTTTTAAAAAAAGAAAATGTATTTTGGTTGATTAATCAAGGCAGAAAGGACAAAAAACTCATCTTTTAACATTTGGAATAAACTGAGTTTTGATAAACCCAGGCTTTTCCTGTGCTTTGGAGGGGTGGGCAGTTCTCCCGTGGGCCTTGCCATGGCTCCTGGAGACAGTCGGGCTGGGTGCCTGGTTTTGGGGGCGCTCGGGATGGGGGCCTGGTTTTGGG